AAAATAAACGTGTTTACAGCAGCGTCTTGCCCAAATATTTGAGAGCACTTTATAATATCAAATTGCGGCGACACTTTCACTGCCTTCAGCATGTGATGTGTTTTTCCGTTAGTTACTTTGCTAAAACGGAAATAATTTTTATTGAGTTTGTTTTTTGGCAATATATATATACTGTATATATATATTCGGAACTTTGAAAGCTATCATTGGATTTGCTACCATTGAAACGATGGCCTAAGCCACAAAACACGTTCGAGTTATTTTTCGTGTCATTTTGACAAATTTTTAGAAAGTGCCGGTGCTGTCCATTGTCATTGATACATGTGTTGGGGTATATTTTACCCTTGCCGCCAACACGTTGTCTGCTATGGTTGCAGCAATCATGTATCGAGATGGTTTCCAGACAAGACATTCTTGACTGCTGAGACAGATTTTAGTTATTAATTTAGGTTTAGGGTAGATTCAGCTACTCGCGCAAGTATGCATAAATGCATTTTGGTGTTCAAGTGCCTAAATGATTTGTTCCGCCAGTCAGGTATATACTATATAGCCGTGATTATTTTGTGAGGAATCATAGTATGATTACTGATTAGTATCCTCACATAACACATAACACTGAGTCACTAGAAAAGAAAGTGATCTACACCTTTCGAAACCAAGCTTATTGCTTTTCAAATAAAGTATTCTATCTATATCTATATATAGAAAGCGGGAAGAGATAGGGACACCCGCGCGAGAGAACAAATCCGCAAATTTAATATTACCGATGCAACTCAGATTCTTTATCAGCACTACGCCAGTTTGTGCAACAGCACTCTAGAAATTTATTTAAAGATATATACCGGATTATTGTTATAAAGAGATCATCGTTTATCATGTTAACTATTATTAAACCTTTCCAAACAACCTTTACATTCTCGTACACAGAGTCCTTGTTTTGAATCCGTTTTTTTCTATTTCGAGTCCGGGTTTTCAAAAGTCAAGTCCGGGTTTTCTTAAACACGAGTCCGGATTTTATTCGAGTCCGGGTCCGGGTTTTTCTCGAGTCCGGATTTTCTTAGAGTCCGAGTCCGAGTCCGGTCCGGGTTTCGAAGTATGCCGTGATTTGACCACCGAAGGCCTAAAGCCGGTTTTCCACTAGTGAATTTTCTCGCGCGAAGCGACCTTGTTCCTTTGTCGGTATCACTTATTACGTCAGCAAGACGTGGCAAAATGGATGCCGACAAAGGAAAAATGTCGCTTCGCGCGAAAAATTCGATGGTGGAAAACCGGCTTAAGTTTCCTGTTTCGTGTTCTTTAGTATTTGTATACATAAAGTTATTTGTAAGCATCAGTTTTGAAAAAAACATCTATTTTGTGAGATCCCAATATATAGGATCCCAGCATAATCATCCCGTACGGATGGTATGGTCTCTCGTTTACAGGCCCTTAGTTTGGTATAGGATGAATCTAATTCGATTGTGCTGTAAGTTTGAACTACATTTTTGGTACATAATTACTCCAAGAAAGCGTAGGAAATTGCCAGTGCATGGAATTTTAAAAACACATGGTCCAGGAGACTTCTTGTGAAATGTACAAATTGGTACAATGTCATATTTTCATGGCGTTAGTCATCACAAAGTGCTGGTACCGGCGGGTGGTATGGTAATCTAGCTAATGAGTTATGGTGTCGATAACTAGTTATGGTCGCGGTACTGACTTACACCATATTGCTGACAAATTTTCTTGTACTTTTCCATTATCTTATCTGCTTCATCCCAAGAACTTCTAAACGTCTTTTCAATCTCATCAATATTCAGTTTGCCAATGTCCACTAGAAGTATATTTTTAGTAGTAGTTAATGACGTTAATCTGTTCGTTTTCACGTAACCATAATTGCACAGTGATAAAGATCACCAACCAAAACATCGCATCATATCAGATAATATATTTCCTTACTTGGCGCACGTACAACAACATCTGGTTTTTCGTAGGAATAAATCAACCCTACTCTGTATGCTTCTTTATGCAAACTCTTCAAGTAAACTAAAATAAATGTATTAAAACAAATAAATTGTCAATTTCAGTTTTCCACTGAATCTACCGTAACGTATACTGCTGTGTACGGCGCGTTTTATAAGTTTGTGTCAGCCGAATCGGGGATAATTTTAAAGGTGTACGTAGTATACCAATTTGAACAGTGATACATGGGCCAGTTGTGCAGTTATTGACGCTATTTAAGGTTACAGAATACCTTGGAGTGTTAATTTTGCCTCAAACTTTTTTATTGGTTTCCATGAAAGCATTAGACAAGTTCTACTTCTACTATCTGACCGAGTTTGAACACAAAAATTTTGTTGTTAAATTAGTAATAAAATACATTTCGCTGCAATAAGAAAAACATTGAAAATGTAATATTCAAATTCAATTTTCTCCTGAAGAATTTTACGGCAATTACTGCGGATTTTCAAACGAGTTGTTCTCTATGGTTGGCGGGTTTTAATGAATGTTTCTCAAATTTTCACAGGACATAGCTAAAGACATCAGTTTCAAAATGGTGTCAGTTCGGCTTTTTTCTAATGACGTTGGATATTTTATCAGTTAATAAAGAACAATTCACTCAAATGACTCAGAAATATATTGCAGTCGTCAAAGAAATCGCCATATCAGCGGAATGACGAAATAAACAAAAAATTTCCGAACACATTTTTTTCAGTATAAGCTCCATCTTTGAATTTACTATATCAGTAAAGTATATAAGATATTTACTATATCAGTAGACTCTTCACTTTTATAATGCATAAAACTCTAATATGAGGCAGAAGCGCAAGCTGAGCGATACACCTGTGCCCGTTGACTTTAATTTCTCTTCGGTGTAAACCAGCGCCCTGTGTAAACTGTGGAAATCACCGTGGCGGAAATTAGGTATTAACGACCAGGGCGTTTATATATCATGTGATATATAAGCGCCCTGTTAATGAATAATGACGTATCTCGTTGCTGCTGTGCATGTTTATGCCACAGAGTAGATACATACAGAGTTGTAACTAGTGTACCCACTTTTTTTGTGTATGTCTCTCAGTCTCATAATATATCAACGCTCAGTAACTTAAAATGCACACTATATACACTGATGGTTAACGTTTTCAATATGGTAAATCTACAGTTAAAATCATGCACACACAGCAGGGGCGGATCCAGCCAAAAATCTGACCGTAGCATTTTCCAAGACCTCGCATAGCTAGGGGGGTCCTGGGGCATGCCCCCCCCGGAAAATTTTTGAAATTTGAAGCCCGGAAATGCCATTTCCTGCGTTCTGAGCACTGCATGTGACCATTAAATTTGCCCTCATTGTATTCATTTCTCAAGCAAAAATAAGCCGAAATGATCTCAAAATGTAAACTATTGCTCGCGTATATTTTAACATACGATATCGGTATGATACTCGTATCATACGCATATCATTATCAATTGAATACCGAAATGCGCGTATCATCTACGAACGCGTGTATTATACGAATACGCATATCATATGAACGCGCGTATTATGATATGAATACGCGTATCTTACGAATATATACGCATTACAAACAAATATTAGCGCGCTATAAAACACGATATATATACGCGCGTATCATAATTCGCGTATTAATTTCAATACATGCAGGTACACTGTACATACGCGCGCAAACACTTTAATAAAGCGAAGTTAATAGCGAACACTATACAGTAAAAACTCAAATTAAAATATAATGTGCATCTCTTATCATTCATAAGGCTTACCTGACTGGAAATGATTCGTTTTACTATCTGACTTTATTTCTACCTCGACGCATATAAATCCTTTAGCTTTACGACGGCTTTCATTTCGAAATGCGCACAACCGTACTGTGGGTTCCCAATAGCATGTTGTTGATGAGCCAAACACAAATATCCGATATTCCATCGTTCTGGAGCAGTAGCCAATTTCATGCCACCGTAGCAAACTATAGCATTTGCCCCATTCCGATTGGTTTGCTACGTTTGACCGTAGCAAACCAATCAGAATGCCGTATATGCCAATTTTCGCTACGGTCAGATTCGACCTTAATGAATCTGACCGTAGCGAAAATTGATCATATATGGGCAACACGCTACAGTGTATTTCTGAAGGATGATATTTTCTAAGCTATAGTCCATTGCGTAATGACCCGCAAACGGGCAATTACAACCGTATTTTCGGGCGGGAATTCTTAAAACAATTAACGTTACGTATTATAAATGTCATCAATTTGTCAAAATAAAATGTTTTAGAACATATAAAACTAAATAAAATAAAACCTTGAAATATAAACAAGGAAAGTAAACAAAATATTGCTAAATTATATTTTAGATTGATTTTATGATCCATGTTAGAACTGGCCTATGGAAAATCTGACCGTAGCATATGCTACAGTTGCAACGGTCTAAATCCGCCCCTGCACAGAGCCAGGAAGCAATGAGAACCATGCAATACTCGCTGCATGTGTAAAATATTAGTGAATATCTCTAGATTCTTGTCTTAAAGTCTTACGTCCTCCGCAAAGGCTTTTTTTGTTCTTATTTTTTGCGCAGTTGTTTGTTCTTATTGAATACAAGTGAGAAGGAAAGATAAATGTGAATCCTGGTTTGGTCTCAGACGTTTGGTCTGATCTTGGTCTGATGATATGTGACACTATGATTGGCTACAGGGGGTAAACGATCAGCCAATGAGAATGAATGTTCCGAGCGCTGCGACCTTACTGTAATTTTGGCATATTGTAAACACTGGACTGGACTTTGGACTTTGGACTATGGACTTTGGACTATGGACTATGGACTTTGGACTTTGGACTTTCGATTTTGAAATTATATTTTTAAAATATTCGTATAATTATATTAATTAAAATCTAAACAGAGAACGAAAATTTGTGCATGATACAATATTCAAGGTAAAAAATACTGTCAGTTATATAGGTATACCAGTGCAATTCTCATCATCTCAGTAATATTTTTAAGTTAATATTTAAATTTTATCAGTTATAATATTTGTATTTATAGTATGTATAGTACAGTTTATACTGCAGAACTTCTTCTTTATCGCGTATATATAATAGATTTATAGAAACAATTGCGACAAAAGTAGCTTGGCAAATACAAAATATTGAGAAACTATCACGTATGAGTATAAACTACACGCGATTATTATTGCGCCTTTGGCTTTGAACAATTATTCGCCGAAGGCGAGGCCGTGATTATCCGGGAATTTGTAGTCTCCCTCGCAGCCGCCAGTTGTGTACGTTCTCTCTGATGTCTGCGAAGGAGGCTAGGGAATTTGTCAAATTTGACCAATCAACTTGACAACTTGTAGGATTTGCTGTACTATTTATTCACTTGCGCAAAAATACTAATGACGGTATTGTTCATCTTTGCATAATAATTTACAGCGGTTTAGCGCCTACCTAAATAGGCTGTGTTTACAATGTATTTTGTCTGTGTCAGTTTTAGCTTTTCATAAATGTATTCAGCCATAGTGAACACGAAAACTCTCATAGTAGCTCATAGTCATCATACTTTATAAAATACGAATGTATGATACATTATCAGTAAAAAATTGGTAGTACTGATTACTTTATGATAATCTATAGTAATTAGTATTACTTTATGTATATATTTATGTTTATATTATTGTCTATATATGGCTCTTTTGTGTACGTTATGCGGCTGAGCATTAATCTTTATACTACGATTGCGATTCCCGCCTGGTTCATCACTTGCAAGTGGTAAACGTGGCAAATAGTTGCTAGACTACCTGAAGCACATAGACATAGATTTTTGCCTTCTCACACACAACTGAGTAGGTCTTAAAAAGTGTGTAAATTTCCGTTAGTCGAATATTCCTGTCCATCTACTAACACTTATTAATAATAACTGAAGCACTTAGTCTTATAGTGATAAGGATAGCTAACTAGAATGTCTTTAAAAAATAAGTAACATTAATTTAACAAAACGTTACTGTGTAACGAAGTAAACAATTACACAATACAGTACTAGTATAAACTATTATGCAAAGATGAACAGTCACAATACTCAATAGGCGCGATAATAATCACTTGTATAGTTAATATTTTGTGTTTGCCGAGACACTTTTGTCACAATTGTTTCTGACAATTAATCTATTATCTATATGATAAAGAAGAAGTTCTGCAGTATATACTGTACTATGCATACTATAAATACAAATATTATATAAAATTTAAATATTAAATCCCAAAATATTGGATAATCCTGCTATCCTACAGGCAATATCCGTATGAAATTGCACTGCTGGTATACCTATATAACTGATACTAGAGATTTTTTACTTTGTATATTATTATATCATGCATGTGCATGCAGTGTAGCACGCTTTTCAGCAGCAAATCTTCGTTCTCTGTTTAGATTTTAATATAATTATACGAAAATCTAAAAAAAATATAATTTCAAAATCGAAAGTCCAAAGTCCATAGTCCAAAGTCCAAAGTCCAGTCCAAAGTCCAGTCCAGTGTTTACAATATGCCCTGTAATTTTTGCGTCGCACTCTGGACTTTCTTGCCTGTTGAATTAATGTTTTTCTTTTTGTATTAAATTAAACGACTCGACTTTGTACCCAGCGAATTTATACAATATATTGGAATATAAACAAGGACAAACTCTCCGAATTCCTTACGATAGTTTTAGTCAAATGTCGACAATATACCTTTAAATACATGTATTAAAATCCGCGCAGTACTAGAATTAAGAGAATTAGCGTAGCGCTGGCCGCTTAGCCTGTGTATAGCCGTAAATTCTCACAGGCTATGGCCGCTGGGTGCGGAAATTTTAGTACTGCGCGAAATATAATCCGCGCGAAAAGCTTTGTGGTAGCTATACTAAAGATAAAGCGTGCGTTCAAAATACCAACAAGAACTAGAACCATTATTGTATGGTTCTCATTTGCTAAACTTGCCACAAGTCGACCTCGAAGAAACGCATTTCGTTCGAGGTCGACTTGTGGCAAGTCTACTCATTTGCCTAATACAATAACATTAGTTCGACGCGAATTTTAATACAAGTATGGTATCATATTTCATAATATAACAAACAATGTAAACTACTAGCCATACATTTTGCCGAACATAACTTCGGCCCCTTTGGACATATCTTTTTCGTAATGATATTATTGGAACCAGAATCGAAAACACTATTTATAGTGTTATTTTCAAGCTTGTGTCTTGAGATTGTCATCTTTTATTTTGGTATTTACAGAATATTTATATTTTTAGCGCGGCCCATGGAACGCACATCAAAACAACGCGCTGTTTAGGAAAAACCGGAAATCGATTCTGTAGGTCGGCATGATTAGGTAATAGACCTTAATATCCACTTTTGACCCAATGGCTTCATTTTCATGTTGGCTATTTACTCGTATTCCGTGCACACAATTTAAGAATGAGTTTGTGAACGGGCTTAAATGATGAACGAGAAGGAAACATTGGGGATATAACCGAGAATTGTGTAGAAGTATAAATTTTTGCATTCAGTTCATACGCCAAAAAGGCAGCACTTTCCTTGCGATAGTAACTCCTAGTTATAGACTTGCACCATTAACGTCTCCCGAAAAGGTCTTTTATTTTTTAAAAAAAGTCCATAAAATTTGCTTGCGGTTTAAGATTTGTATTCCTGCCTTTTGCACCATAGCACGTATCTCGTTATTTTCAGGCCAGTGTGAACGCCTGAGCAGGCGTCTTGTTATCTTATAAACGCCCTGGTGCATATCTGATTGGATGGCGGTTCGCTTTAAAACTTGCCGAGCACGCGCAGTTGATCATTTTTTTCTCGGTCGCCTGAAAAAAAGTGGGACAACGGTCAGTTGCAGCTCTGTATGTCTCTCCTCTGTGTTTTAATATGCCGACTGCGGAGCCGAGTGCGTCGTGCAATTTTGCATGTATTGCAGTTCTGGCCCAGAGACAAATGACATAACTTCACATAAGATATACTGAAATACTGAATAAAAGTATAACTTGATCTTTAATTTAAGTCATAATAGCAAGTGCATACATAATACATTTTAATTGTCCAATATAGCAAAATTTGCTATTCAAGGCAACGCGTACGCTATCATTGCTGCTAGAGCAATATAGTGAAAACGCTGGTAAAGTGGTAATTCGAAAAATACGTATTAAAGAATAAAGTTTGATAATGAATACTTACAATGCAAGGCACGATCACTGAATTCACTGCCATCAACAGCGACAAGCACAAGCCCACCTTCGCTGCTCGACGCCATATTCATTTCATATCATGAATGTTTCATCAGGCATCTGTTATCTCAAATTGTAAATTAGTAAATATAAGCAATTCTATCAGTCTGGCAATTATATATTCTTATGCATGAGTATTCAAAGCAGCATGCAATATTATTGCCTATTGACGAATGACGGATTGGATAAAACTATTAAGAAATTTATCGTAGTGATATATGACTATACATATACTGTTACGATATATTGACGGGCACATGATATATCAGACATATTGAAATTTTTAATGCATGCAAACTAGCACATGATATTTGTTATTTTGATCACTATCACAGCAGTCGGGCGCTGGAACGTGGAGAAACGCATGCACAAAGAATTCTGTATATTTCTCCATAACACTTCCAAATTCACAAAGGAACTAAGAAAGTTTTTTAAAGGAATTTTCACGAACGGAAATAGCACATTGACGGAATTAATTGCGGAACAACGAAAATTATGTCGATCCTGGACGCAATTTTTCTGTAGAGCTGTTTTTGCCTTTTTGGTAGCCTGCGGGCAGCCCCATACCACGTAAGCTGCCCGCAGGCTATGTTTTTGATCGTTCTCACTTGAATATAAAATTAAGACGATTACATTATATTTATATTAGTAATATAATTTTATCGAATTTTGCTTCTGATCAAAATTTAAGGGGCTTCGGTGGCCAAGCGGTTAGCGCACCTGCCTTTCACCTCTGAGGCCACAGGTTCAAGCCTCAGTGAGAACTTTCTCAGTGCGACGCGAACCCATGCAGTCCTCATGTGAAAAGAGTGGAAGTCAACGCTCTGCCGAAAGTCGTGGGCTTTCCCCGGGTACTCCGGTTTCCTCCCACATGGAAAGTTGACAGGGTGTGTTAGGTAAAAAAAAGGGCCCACAGTAATTGGCATATGCTGTTGTGGTGACCTTGCCCTAGTTGGCAAAAGCTAAATAAAAAAAAATCAACTGACCTGGTTGGATTTAAGGCAATATTGACATTCAAGTTGTTGCCAAAAACATGGTTAGGGTTGGGTTGCATGTGAGGTCCGTGAGCAAGTTTCAAGATGCTGTTGTCTAAAACAACATATATGAGAATAGCGAAATTCAATCTTCACTATAACATTAACCTGCAGCCTGCAAAACTAACCAGCTTATGGGGCTCTCAAAATTAAGGCAGAGTAAAATAATTAAATAGAATATACATACGTTAAGAAAAGTTATTTAAGTAAATGAGGTTAATTAAAAGGTGAAAGGCCTAAAATTGTTTAACTATGATATAAGGTAATGAGGGTCTCTCATTGGGGCGAGTCTGTGTTCCGTGTTCCCTTAGTTTCTTCGTTTCCTACAAAGTTTTCACCGTGTTCCCTTGTTCCCCCATCTTAAGACTTTTTTGGCTTTGTTCCCGTAGCCGTGTTTACTTGCAAAATATGCCGTGCAGTCAGGGGCGCTGGAGCCACGATGGCAGTGGGAGAAACCACCCTTTGAGGGAATCTGAACTGACTCCTCTCAGAAACGTAGCCAAGTTAAGGTTTCCATCTTTTTGAAAAAAAAAGTAAAAACGAAGCCTTCTTAATAAATAATTGACAAGTTGTCATGTTGTTTTACAATGCATTTTAGACTTTTGCGTCGTGCAAGGACCCCTCCTTACTCTCACCCCACTCCCCACTCTAACCCTTCCTTACCGGAGGCAACTAACCCATCTAACCTCTCACCCTGATGGGTGGGGGAACGAAAAACTCCCCACCCGAACGCAGGTATAAGCTACTTTGGGTCGAAACCTCTGGGGTGGAAATTTGAAAGGAAATCTTATTAAGGAATTTTAACCTAGGATTTAAGGAATATGGAAACGATACAGGAAGTTAGGAACTGCTTCATGCGTACATGAGTATATCGTAGCTTTCCATCTGACATTTCTGCAAAGTTTTAGACATATTTTATGGTGTTATCTTGAATAACTTCATCAATTAACAAAGCAAAGCAACGTTCGAGTTATTTGGAAACCATAGAATGGCAACTGAGACAAAACAACGCGTTGTGCTTATTCCCGTCGATGCAAGTGACCTGTGTGAAAAGGCATTCCATTGTGAGTAGCCGAGCATGAATTCAAGATACATATTTGGTGCAGTATATTTATTTATTTATTTAATGCAGTGTTTTTATGTATTTATTTAATGCAATTATTTTGAAGCAACACTCATTTGAAGGATTGAAATAGTATACTTATTTTGCAGTTTGTCGTTTCTTATTTGCCTTTTGGAGAAATGCTGCATGGGGTGTACGTCTGGTCATGCAGCTCAACTCCCCTGCCCATAATTTAAAGATACGGGTCCTACTAAATACTGCCCGGAGCACGCGGGAGCGCCCGAGAGTGCCCAAGAGCGTCCGAGAGTGCCCAAGAGCAATCGAGAGTGCCCAAGAGCATCTGAGAGTTCCCGGGCCGGAGCGCCCAGGGATATACAAGATATGGTATAAATCAGTGTACGATCCTTTCTGAATCCCTATGATGCATTATATTAATGAAAAATAATATTAAAAGTGATTTTCAACCATGCAGCCTGGTGACAAGCAGTGTGGAACATGAGATAATAATTATTTTCATTAATATATAAATGCCTCATAGAGACTCAGAAAGGATTGTACACTGATTTACACTATCTTGTATACCCCTTGGGGAAATGTGAGGGCGCCCAGGCTCGCTTTCACACATCTCTGGGTGCTCCCGGCAGTATTTAGTAGGGCCGAAAGATATATTACTGAATATTTTGACATTTAAGTCTTGTAGACATGCAAGAATGTTATGTCATGATAACAATCATCCATTTTGGGTGGCAAAAATCATGGCAACCATTTAAATTATGCTGATCTTTATTTTGCATGTTGTATAATAATGTACTGTACTAGTACTATAGCCCCCTACCTTTTAATGCTTTTATGTGAGTGTACATATGCCACGAGAATGAACAAATTAACGTGTATTTATCTGGGGTGCACCTGATTTTTCAGAGTTCTGGTAACGGCAGGGTCTAATAAAAAAAGCATGGCCGGAATCGGAACTCTGTTGTTTTCAGAGAGATAGAATATCAAACGTTTTTGTGTCTAACAAAGGTTCACAGTAGGAAGAAAGTTGGACTACACAAGGAAAATGTAAACTATTTATTTTTAACACTTCATTATGGCATTTAACATTTGTCAAATGAATCTTTTTATTCTAACATTTGCAAGCTCTCTCCTTGATGACTTGAAGTGTCTGACTGTCTGGCATCCGGTTCCGGCCAGAACTTTTTTCCAGTTCCGGCAGGATACGGTTCCAGCTGGAACTTTAAAAATTGGTTCCGGTGCACCCCAGGGTTCGAAATAGCCGGCAGCTTTAGGACCTTGCCAGGGATTTTTAAATTCAAAGCATAGGGGACCGGCGAAAATATTTATTCACCGATGACTCGCTTACAATAATACATACATATACACAGAACCTGTTAATGTTTGTTCCTTCACCAAATAAAATGTATTGCTGTGTTCTTACAAATGTTGTATTGGAATTTACATCACTACTGTAACAGTATTACTTGGCCTATGGCTATGTCCATTCCAGAACATAACCAAACTTCGCTAAGTGGAAAATAGCTGGCAAATATTTTCACCTACAAAAAACAGCCTACAAAATTTGACATATTTTCAGAACGCTATTTCGAACCCTGCACCCCTAGTATTTATTCTCAGTTCTCACAGTTTGCAGTAAATACTATGCAATACCACAACCTCATGCCCAGGATCTAGCTTCCCTCCTGGGTGGGAAAGACCCTGGTACTCACACATGATCTAGCAGGTTTTTGGTTAATGTATGCTTTTGAGTTATTTATGTTTATTGGAATATACAAGTGAACACTTCTGCACATATAGCAAACATTGACTAGCTACTACATTGCCACCCCTCCCAAATCTATATTTTAGTTATATTGTGTGACCAATGACCATATGAGGGTCAAGAGGGTTGGTAATACCAAATATTGTGTGTCTAGTAGCAACTATATTTTTAACTCTGTGTGACAATGGGTCGTTCCAGAAAAGATCCACACTCCCCCCACGGAGGAAATTTCTGCCGTCCGGAGGGGGGAGGGGAGAAAAAATTGTTTCTGATAATAGTAAATGTATTAGGACATCCGAAGGGGGTAGGGGGTTAACTTCCAATTTCCTCCGTGGGGGTGGTATGGATGTTTTCTGGAATGACCCAATGGGTACCCTGGATCAGGGGGTTTCCTGTTTAGTTATATAACCTGTAGCCTGCACTTAAATGCCAATTAGATTAAAACACACCAGAAAACCTTTGCACCCAGACTAGTCAATGTTTTTTTTTTGGATTTTAATCCCGAAATTCTCCCATTTCTGAAAAATGTCCCACCACCAAGAAAAAAGAGAGAAAGGAAGAAGAAAAATATGGAAAGGGAAGAAGCTTAATTGTTATAACCAGAAACAGAATGTATTTCCTAATAGCTATCAAATAAATTAAATAATGTAATTGTTGTTAATTTGTATTTTACAGGGTATGTGGAAAACATGCATCATAAAGGAGATAAGTTAATTATATTTCACTGCCATGAATTTCATCCACCTACATTCCCACGTAAGTAGCAAATTATTCGCATATCAAGCAGCAAGGGCATGTTGATGTTCATCATGTGGGTGAATAAAGTTAACCATGCTGCAGGCAGAATAAATCTATGTGTTTTGTTGTCTTTCAGTTAGCTTAATCAGATGGTTTGCAGGACAAGACAAAAATATTAATATATAGCATTAACACTGAAATTTGTGCTTGCTCATGTTCTATTGAGGGGAAGGGAGGGGAATTAAGTCAATAGACCTTTCCCCTTATGAGTGAAATTTTGATCTAGATATGCCTGGACGAAAATTTTATCACAGCTTGAAAGAGCATCACAAAATTAGTAATATTCCAAAGTTTTGTTGCGAAATGTTGTAAAATGCGGATAATATAGCCTTGCCAAGTTTGCCGTTTTTCAGTCATTTTGCATTACATTTTGCAACGAAACTTCGGAATATTACTAATTTTGTGATGCTCTTTCAAGCTATGATGAAATTTTTAATTGTCCAGACTTGTCTAGATCAAAATTTCACTCAAAAGGGGAAAGGTCTATTCTACTAATAAGGAAGTTTATTCTACCAACTAGGAGTCTAGGAAAGCATAATTCATGCTTTATTTTTTTTCAATATTGTCAATATAAAATTTAATCTTTAACGTACCCATCACTGCCAGTTCTCTCCTCTTCACGAGTAAAATTGTCTGGCATTGCGTGGACTGGGGTCAATGCAACTTTAAGAATGGGTAAAAGAGGAAAATTACAAAAAATGCTCAACGATTCAATTATAGTTTTTGGAGAATACCCTCACAAAAACTAGGCAATTTGTGGGAAATTTTAACCTGACAAAGCCAAAAGCTAAAAATTGCCAAATTTACCTAGTGTGAAGATTCAATGAAAATAGAAGATAGCTTTTACTTATTGCATTTGAATTTCTTAACTAGATGCATTGGAAAGTGTAGAGTGGAAAAAACTTGTTGATGAACATGAAGAAAAACTGAAAGCACTCGAGACAAAGTACAAGGCAAAATGTGAAACAGAACAGGTTAATAAGACTTCATTGTTAAATCTTAGTCACTATTGCTTCAGAGTTTGCATCTAGCCTGAGGAAGTAGACGTTCTGTCACTCCTCTGCATTGCATAATATCTTATATGCAATATGGGTCATTCCAGAAAAGATCGACACTCTCTCCATAGCCTGCGAACAGGCTCTCTTTGAACTCTCTTTGAATTCCAAGAGCCTGTTCGCAGGCTACTCTCCCCAGGGAGGAAATTTCTGCCGTCTGCAGACTTCTAAGGTCCAATTCCAGAATTCCATAGCATTGTATAACAGAATTGCAGGAATGGAACCTGCGATTCCGGCTCTGTGACCATTGACCCATGTACAGAGTAGAAATGTTAATTAGTGTGCTTTGAATTCTAGATTTCTGCACGAATCTTGGTTCATGGTGGTAGTATTGGACCAGAGATTTGCAAGTGTGCTGAAACGGAATGTGTTACCTCTATTGTGATCGCAAGCCGTGGTCATGGAACAATAAGAAGAACTGTGTTAGGAAGTACTTCTGATTTTGTGTTGCATCATGCTCATGTGCCTGTTGTTATTGTACCCAAAACTAAGGGTAAACACTAAATGACATTTTTTACGCTGGTCATTTCATTTATGCATGTGGTTAGTTTAGGCTCTTGATTCTTGTCCAAAAATAGTGATTAACATAATGATTGAATAAAGGTAAATTAATTCTGATAATATTGTGGATTTTATTTTGCATCATGGCCATGGTCAATTCCTGACTTCCTGTTATCGACGTGTACCCAAAAACTAAGAGTAAATGACACTTTTCTACTCTTGTGACTATGGTGCCCTGCCCCTGGTTACAGAGGACGAGGCGAAAGGAACGCCAAGCTCAGACGGAAGAGCGTGTCCATATTGGTTCCAAATCACCAATGGATAACATTGCGCTGTTTCATTCAGCCTGAAGGTCGAGACACGCACGATTCGACAACGCGGCGAGATTTTCAGTTTTTGAAAGTTGATAAAACAGCCAACGAAAGGAAATTTTAAAAGATATGTGGACCAAATAACCCAAAAAGCATGTTATAGCACTTCTAAATATTTGGAAAACTTAAACCAGGATCAAAGTTATCGGTCAGTGAAAATCGAAAAACAATTTTATACATTACGTGATGCCAAAATGTCATTTTCAAACCATAACAACTTTCCTCGACAAAAATAATGGTCCCCTGGTTTGATATCTTCAAGACCGTACATTTATTTCTTGCAATCTTGCGGTTAAAACATCGACAAAAGCGTTTTGCAACTTTAGTTTACACATTTTCGCACACAAACGTTGCAGATATACTCGATAGAGAAAGCAATTAAACTCGATGAAAAACTTAACTGCTGCCTTACATCCTTTACAATTCAAAACTAGACGAATATCTTTGGGGAAACGAAGAAAGTGAAGTAGAAATGTTAGTTAAATTCATTTAAATAAAGTAGCTATCCTGTCGGTTACGAGTAAGTATTCGATCAGTAAGTACAGCTAGAGGTTCAGATTTGACTTCCACTGCCTCTCATTGGCTTAATTAATCAGGTGGGTTGAACCTAAGTGGTCTGGAAGCCCGGCAAACTTCAAAGCCACAAAATAGAAGACTTTATTTGATGTTGAACTGTACCTCGCTCACCGTGCACAAATCCTTTGACGCAGCTTCATTAAATATTATTCATCCTGGTTGCACGTTTCTTCTCAGCCATCCCTATTGGACGGTACTTCATTATACGAAAATACAATGAGCTCAATCACTGTGACCGTGCACAAATTAACATAAACGCAGACAAAAACATCAAACAATCACTTATGTATAGTTGCCAGACCACCATACCTTGATAGACTATGGTTATAGGCAAGGCCGCCTAGAGCTTTTTGGGGGCCTGGGGCAAAATACCCTCTTGGGAGTTTTCGGGGGCCCCTTCCACTCCCTAAAATTTAAGCCTGGGGCAAATTGCTCCCTTTGCCTCCCCCCCCCCCCCCGGGGGGCCCTATTTCCA